ATGTTTAATTCCATAAGAAATCGACCAACTGTCTTCCACCGTGGCCATACCCCTGTCATTCCCATCAGCAATGAATGAGGGTTCCAGTTGCTCCGAATCCTTGTTACCACTGGTATTATTGTCAGTTTTCATTTGTTTTAGCCATCCTGGTAGGTGTGGAGTGGTGGTTCACAGGGTTTGTTTTTTGTTTTTTTCCTTGGGTTTTTTTTTGGTGAGGAAGATTGGCCCTGAGCTAACATCTGTTGCCAATCTTCTTCTTTTTGGTTAAGGAAGACCACCCCCAAGACAACATCTGTGCCCATCTTTCTCTATTTTGTATGTGGGAGACCACCACAGCATGGCTTGATGAGCGGTGCATAGGTCCACACCCTGGATACGAACCTGCGAACCCCAGGCCGCCAAAGCAGAGTGCACACACTTAACCACCAGGCCAGCCTCCCCCACCCCCCTTTGCTTTTTATGCCAGCTGCCTGGCCCGGGGGAGGGATGTGGGAGCCCTGTGCTCTGATGGGAGTCAAGCAGGCAGAGAGCACAGGTTAACATTTTGGTCTGAGGAGGCACAAGACTTGGATTCGAATTCTGACCCCACCATGATCTTGCTGTGTGACCCAGAGCAAATCATTTCCCTCTCTGAACCTCAGTTTCTTCATCTGTAAAATGGAATCAATGAAGTCCCTCCCTGGTCCCCCACCCCAGGACTGGCCCAGAAAAAAGGCTCAGTATGCGGAAGCTGGTATCGCTGTTCTGGTCTAGGCGATTCCAGACTTCTTTCTCAGCAGACGGACCGTTCAAATAAAATCTTATGCTCTCAATAGGTGGACCCGAAAGAGGAGGATTCCATTTCCTCCCCCTTCCCCCTCGCCCCCACCAGAGCATAGCCTGAAGTCTGCTGACCGGTCTAACCCCCTCACCTTAACAACAGAGGAACAGCCAGAGAGGGCAGTGGCTTTCCAAAAGCCACACAGCATGTCGCAGGCACCCAGCTCCCCGCTTTCATCCTCAGTTCTCCATATTGACTGCCTTCCTGAGTCCACTCACAAGTGGCATCCGTGGGGCTGAGAGAGTTGTAATTGCCACTGATCTGTGTGTGTGCTCTGTGCCAGGCACCATTCCGAGCATTTTGCCTGTCTTAACACTGGTCACCTGGGTGACCCAAGGGAGGCAGCGGTTGTCCCCATTCTGTGGATGAAGACACTGAAATTCACTCACTTCCTCCAGGTCCCACAGCTGGAGACTTACGGCCAGCGTCTCCCTGCCTCCTCCTGAGGGTCTGTCTTGCCAGCGCCCCCAGGCTGGGGTCCCGCTGTGTCCCCTCTCTCTGTGGCTGTGTCTCTGTCCTAGTCTGTCTGTATCTCCGCTCCAGCCACACCAGCTTCCTCACTGGTCCTCCAACAAAAACCGAATCCTGCCAGAGGGCCTTTGCACATGCCGTGTCCTCCCACCTCCCGACCTGGGGCCTGGCCCTTCTCATCCTTCAGGCCCTGCCTCGATGTCCCCTCCTTGGAGAGGCCAGCCTCAACCACAGCAGCTACAGTCACCTCTCCAGTGACCTGGAGTCATCCACCTCATTTTCATTCTCTGCCTGGCACAATCCAGTTGATGTATTCATTCATTCATACCGTTTATAATTCATTCAACTAACATTTATTGGGCTTGCACTGTGGGCGAGGCCATGTTCTTGGCCTAAGGGATATGGCTGTGGACAAAGCAGACAAAAATCCCTGTTCTGGATAGCTTAGTTCTAGAAGGGAAGGGAAACAATAAAGAAGATAAGGATAATATAGAATATGTCAGGTAAGCAGTATTTTTTTTTAAGGAAGGGAAATAAGAAATATTAGGGCAGGGGAGACGACTTTTGAACTGAGGCCTGAAGGAGGCGAAGAAGAAGCCATTGGTGATCTGGGCAGAGGGTGCAGCCTGTGCAAAGGCCCTGAGGCAGGAATGTGTTTGAAATGTTAGGGAACAGCAAGGAGGCCGTGGCGGCTGGAGCAGAGGGAGTGAGGGGCAGAGTGGGAGATCATGTGACAGGGCCTTGTGGGCCTCAGTGAGGGCTTTGGTTTTGGCTCTGAGTGAGCTGGGAGCCATAGAAGGTTCTGAGCAGACAAGGGATGTGACCTGACTCAGGTGTCACACGTTCCTTCTGGCTGCTGTTGGGGGAAGAGACTGAGGGGCAGACAAGAGCTGCGGACCAGGGCAGAGGGGAATGCACTGGGCCTGGCCAGCGATGAGGGGGGCTGGCCAAGGAGTGGGTAAGAAGTGGACAGATTCTTAGGGGCTAGCCCAGTGGCATAGTGGTTTAGTGTGCACGCTCCACTTCAGTGGCCCAGGGTTTGCAGGCTCAGATCCTGGGTGGGGACCTACACACCACTCGTCAAGCCATGCTGTGGTGGCATCCCACATAAAATAAAGGGAGATTGGCACAGATGTTCACTCAGGGCCAATCTTCCTCAGCAAAAAAAAAAAAAAATGGACAGATTCTGGATAGATGTGGGCAGCAAGGCTGATCTGATGTGTGAAAGAAAGAGTAGAACTAAGGAGGACCCATGATTTTCGGGGTGTGCATTGCTGCTAGGTCAGCCTGTTTATAGTCCGGCCTTTCCCTTGTCATCTCTGTGAGGGGCAGACTGTGGTCTGTCTTGGTCACCGCTGGGTCCCTGGGGCCTGGCTCTGCAGTTCCCTGCCTCCCATCTCATTTGGGGGGTCTGCTGTCTTTAATGTCCTCTATCTGCCCCCATCTCTGCCGGGAAGTCCCTGGTCCCCTTGTTCCTCTTGACTCCGTCTTGGCCCTGACCCCTCTTCCCGCCCGCCCCCTGCAGCCTCGAGGCCGAGAATGGGCCGGCGCCGTCCCCCGGCCGCAGCCCCCTGGACTCGCAGGCGAGCCCCGGCCTCGTGCTGCACGCCGGGCCGGCCACCAGCCAGCGCCGCGAGTCCTTCCTGTACCGCTCGGACAGCGACTATGACATGTCGCCCAAGACCATGTCCCGGAACTCGTCGGTCACCAGCGAGGCGTGAGCACCCCCTCCCCACCCGCCAGCTCCTCCAGGCCTGGCCCAGCGCAGCTGCCCTTCCCAGCAGGGAGGGGGGCACTTCCCGGCCTCCCCCAACCCCACGGAGCCCCCGCCCTGCCCACCAGCTTTCCCAGGCCCAGCGCCCGCAGTGGCCACCCCAGAGAGCTGCTTCTCGGGGACCCCAGCCCCTGTCCACCCAGGCCCTTGGGGCTCCCGCCATGAGGACTCCTGACCTGCCCCTGTCCTTCACCACAGGCACGCTGAGGACCTCATCGTGACACCGTTCGCCCAGGTGAGACCCCGCCCCTAAGGAGGAAAGGGGCTCCGACCCTCACCCTCACTTGGGGACGGGGCCCAGCCCAGGCTGCCCCTCTCCTGACCCTTGCTCCCCATCCCAGGTGCTGGCCAGCCTCCGGAGCGTTCGCAACAACTTCTCACTTCTGACCAATGTGCCCATTCCCAGCAACAAGTAAGTCGAGGCTGCGCCCCCGTGCCCCTGATCATGAGGCACATCACAGCTGGGTTCAACTGTGCGCTCTGCTGTGTGACTTCAGGCAGGCGCTTGACCTCTCTGAGCCTCTGTTCAGGCAATAGCTCCCTGAGCCAGTAAACCATTGCGATTCGAATGCCTGAGATACAGAAGCTTATAAATAAAGACTTAAATAAAGCTTATAAATAAAGACTGAGGGGTCCAGACACACGGTGGTGAGGCCATGGGTGGCCAGCCACCCCACCTTGGGGCCACTCTTGGCCCTGATGCCAACTTGCTGGGCAAATAGCATCCTGTGGAACCTCTGTTCCCCGTCCATAAAAATGGGAATTTAATAGTGCCTCCCGTAGGTGGCTGCTGTGAAGAGTCTAGAAGATGATATATAGAAAGTGCTAGAACATTGTCTAGCACAATACTTAGGTGCTCACTAAATAGGAGTAGTGCTCATTATTTTGGGGCAGGGGTGTGGCCGAGAGCTGCTGGTCCCTCTGGGAGTCCGGGGACAGAGCCATCCTCAGAAGGTTCAAGGAATTGAGGGGAAGCATGGCCGAGGAAGCAGCAACATTGGAGACACAGGACCTGAACCCACTGCTGAGCCTTGATCCTCAGTTTCCTCATCTGTAAAATGGGTTCTTGTGACAGGCTGCAGGCAGAGGACGTGGCCGTGTGCACACAGTGAGCGCTCAGAACAAGAAAAGTCGGTGCCATTCAGGGAGAAAGGGAGGCAGGGATCCGGGGGTCGGGGCACAGGCTGACCTTGGAGCCCCATTTCTTTGCAGGCGGTCCCCACTGGGCGGCCCGACCCCTGTCTGCAAAGCCACGCTGTCAGGTAACGAAGCCCGGGGCGTGGGAAGGGGCCCTCTTGCTGCCCTATTGCGGGTCCCGCCCCCGAGGCAGCCGTCTCAGCCCTTCCCCCACCGCGCACCCCTGGCGGACCCCCCGACGGGCTAGGGCCTCAGTCCCGGCACCTGCCTCCCCTTCTCCAGAGGAGACGTGCCAGCAGTTGGCCCGGGAGACGCTGGAGGAGCTGGACTGGTGTCTGGAGCAGCTGGAGACCATGCAGACCTACCGCTCTGTCAGCGAGATGGCTTCGCACAAGGTGTGCGGGCCTGGGGCCTGAGGGCGGGGCCAGCCACGGGGCGGGGCCAATCTCTGGGCGGGGCCTGTGGGCGGGGCCAACTGCTAGGTGCTAACTGTGGGCGGGGCCAGCCATAGGACAGGGCCAATCCCTGGGCAGAGCCTCTGGGATGGGGCCAACCGTGGGGTGGGGCATGTGGGCGGGGCCAGCCATGGGGCAGGGCCAGTCCCTGGGCGGAGCTTATGAGGAGGCCAACCGATAGATGTGACCTGTGGGCGGGGCCAGTCCTTGGATAGGGCCTATGGGTGGGGCCATGCTCTGGATAGGGCCTGCTGGGTGGGGCCTGGGGGCGGAGCCAATCTGCCGAAAGGGCCTGTGGGGTGGGGTCAATGCCTGGGCAGGACCAACCCCTAACCTGGTGTGTGTGGAGATGTGTGTGTCTGGTTGTACATCTGTCCTTAGGCGACCATCTCTTTTGGGGGTGGGGTCGTATGTTTGTATGGTTTGCTGGTGTGTATCTGCAGCTGTGGGTCTGTGTGGCTGTCTATTTGCTGGCTACACATTGGCAGGGTCGGGGTGAGGGGCTGTTGTGAGAGGATCCATCAGGAGTGTACCTATGGAAGGCGTATGGGTGTGCACAGGCGATTCAGTGGGGTTGTAAGTGTGTGGGGCTGTGCTGGAGGGATGTGTATGTCCACAGGTGTGAGTTGGTCCAGGTGTGAACCTGAGTGTGTTTGTGACTGTGTGTATGTGCGCCTGCAGGGCTGCAGGGGAGGGTGCGAGGCTTCCATGTACAGTAGTGCAGACTGTGCACTGCACAACTCCAGGGGCCACCATTCAGAAAGCTGGCCATGTGATTGCTGCTTCTTGGAGTTGCATGGCATGGTGGCAGCCCTGTGGGAGGACGCCTGTGTGGAAATGAGTGTGCACGGGAGTGTCTGCGTTGGGGGTGCGTACGCCCGTGGGTGGAGGTTTGTCTGGGAACATGGGAGTCTGAGGGTGACTGTGTCTCGGGGTGTGTTGAGCATCTGAGAATGTGACTGTGTCTCTGAGTGTGGGTCTGCGATGGTGTGTGGGCGTGAGTGTGCGTCTTACCTTATGGATTAGTCAGGGTACGTTTGTGTGTAAGGCTGCACGAGTATTTGTGTCTATTTGAAAGTCTGTCCGTGGGTATGTTGAGTGTGTCTGTAAGTGTGTCTAGTATCTGGGTGTTCGTCCCTCAGTGTGTGTGTCTGCACGTGCGGGTGTGGGTCTGTGTTCTTGGAAGAGGTGTGTCTGAAGGCGTTTGTATGTCTGTGTGCTCAACTATGTGTCTATAGATGTGTTGGACCTCAGAGTTGTGACTGTGTGTGTGTGGTCAGTGTAGGACTGAAAGCATTTTCCAGCGTGTCCAGTATCTGGCTGTGTTGGTGTGGAAGGTGTGTCTCAGAGCGTTCGTGTGTCTGTGAGTGTGTGGAGCCCCTGGGTGTGTGTCTTTGTCTCTGGGTGCGTGCATGGAGAGGGCCCGTCCTCACGAGGGGGTGTGTCCCCCTGCCTGTCCATGCGTCCCTCCTGGGTCCTGGCTGAGGCCCACGGGCTCCTATGCCCCTTTAACGCCCCCCCACCCCAGGCACCACCTGACATCGCATGCAGCCTGCCAGTGCTGCAGTGAGCACGCACACGCACGCACACACACACACAGGCGGACACACGGAGCCAGAGCCTCTGAAGCGTCCTCCCAGGACCCTCGCCCTGCACCCCCCCCCCATGGGCAGGGGTCCCCGGCCGCCTCCAGCTGCCGCCTCCGGGGGCCCCAGCGGGGCCAGAGGCTGGCGGACCATGTAACCAGGGCTGCCACCGGGAGGGGAGCGCGGAGGGGAAGGGAGCCCCCAGCCCTGCTGGGCCGGCCCAGGCCCCTCCGCGGCTCCCCCTTCCACTGCCCACCTGCCCAGCGCCCCGCCCCCCGACGGTGGCGGTTAACCCCGGGAGCCCCCAAGCCCAGCGTGCGTGTGTGGCAGCCCCGAGTAGGGCTAAGCTTCCAAGATGCCCTTGGTGGATTTCTTCTGCGAGACCTGCTCCAAGCCGTGGCTGGTGGGCTGGTGGGACCAGGTAGGGGAATTCGGGGTGGGGGATGGGCAGGAGGCCGGGATGGGCCCTCCCCTGTCGGACCCTCCAGCCCCCAGTCTGGGCTGGTGTGTGCAGCTGTGCACGTGTGTGGCCTGGAGATGAAGCCTTGTGACTGTGTCTGTGTGTGTGTGGCTGGGGCTGGGCGTGGATGGCGGGTGGCTGGGGGGTGGGTCTCTCGCTGGCGGTGACTGTCAGGGCACACATGTGTGTGTCTGCCATGGCGTGGGGCTGCTGACCGTGTGCTCGTTTGCCTGGGTCCTGGCGTGGCCCTGGCTGAGGTCCTGTGGCTCTCGTTGTGGTGGCGTGTGTTGGGCCATGTTTGTGAGCCCAGGGCTGCGTGATTTTTCTGGGGCGTGTGACCCCGAGTGTCAGTGACCGCCTTACTGTGTATGCCCCTTGACTGGTGCATCTGGGGCTGTGTAGAACTGGGTAACGTGGGAGCCTGTGACTGTGCTGTTGTGTGACTTTGTGGGTCCATCTTGTGTGTGTCCGTGTGTCTCTTTGGGTGTGTGCCCAGGAGTGAGCATCCCGTCCGGGTGCGGCCCCCTGGGCTCACCCTCCTGCCTGTCTGGACTAAGTGTGCTCCTGCTTTGGGGGTGCTTTGCTGGAGCTGGGGGGCGGGGAACCGATGCCCTTTCTCCTCCATGCACAATGTCACAGCAGACGCTTGTGTGAAGTGGAACAAGGGGACCAGGAGAGGCCCCCAGGCCTGGTTCTGGGCAGACTCCGTTCATCTGTGCATCTGTCTACCCCTCTGAGGTCGGGGGAGAGGGGCCTGTGGTGGGAAACCCCCTCCCCTGGGGCACTGAACTCTAGGTTCTTCCTTGCCTCTGCCAAACGTCTTCACACACAACTTGGGAACTGCATTCCTTCCTTCCAAACCGAACTGGAGGTTGGGGACCAGGACCCCCAAGGAGTGGGGGCCATGCCTGGGAAGACCTAGGCCAAAGTGGCTCTGGGAAGGCAAGGGTTAAAGGGCCCGAGGCCTGCCCCCTTTTCCCCCAGCTCAGCAGCTGGTTGGAGAGGGAGTTGCTAAGGAGACTCCCATCACCGTGGCGACGGGAGTCTCCTGACACCCCATTGGCTCCCTGTTAGGCAGGAGCCCCTCCCTTCCACAGGTGCTCCCCGGCTCCTCCTGGGGGGGAGTATGGGGAGGGGAGCCCCCCTTCCTCACCAGGGAGGGGTATGTGAGGTATCTTGCCTCCCGAAGCCTGGGGACCCCCCGGCCAGAGCTAGGAGGAAAGGAAACCCTGATCCCTCCCCCAGCAGCCTGCTGAGGGCTGTTAGCTGAGCACAGAAGGAAGAGCGACTCAGGGCCTTCACAAGTTTCTCAGGAGGGCCGCCCCCCCCCCCCCCCCCGTGACCCCATCATTCTTTCCTTCTTGCCTCCTTCTTCTCAGTTCAAGAGAATGCTCAACCGTGAACTCACACACCTGTCCGAGATGAGCAGGTCAGGAAACCAGGTCTCTGAGTACATCTCCACCACGTTCCTGGGTGAGTGAGGGCAGCACCGTGTGCGGGGTGCGCCCGGGACCAGCGGGGCCGCCCAGACCCCGAGGCCCGTTGCCTATGTTTGCCCAAGGGACCCTGGCTCACCCAAAGTCACTGTGCTCAAGAATTCACATATCTTATGATGCCCCGAAACTCAGGGGGACCCCAGTGGATCTCTCAAACTCTGCACCCCAAGAAACCCCGAAACTCAAATAGAATTCCTAAACTTTAAAATGCCTCCAGGCTGGGGCCGGCCTGGTGGTGTAGTGGTTAAATTCACACACTCTGCTTGGGCGGCCCAGGGTTTGCAGGTTTGGATCCTGGGTGCAGACCTACACACAAGCCATGCTGTGGCGGCATCCCACATAAAACACAGGAAGATGGGCACAGATGTTAGCTCAGCAACAATCTTCCTCCAGCAAAAAGAGGAAGATTGGCAACAGATGTTAGCTGTGAACCAATCTTCCTCACCAAAAAAACCCCACATATATATATAATTAAATAAAATGCCTCCAAGCTGAAAAGTCCGCCAAGTTCAATAGAATCCCCAAACTTGGCATGACCCCCCCAAATTCCATAGACTGCCCAAACTCAATAGAATTCCCAAGCTTAAGAACCTGTAAGAGATTCCCCAAACTTAGGAGAATTTCCTAACTCAGCAGGACCCCGAATATAGTAGAATACCCCAGATTCATTGGCACCCTCAAGCTCATGGGGATCTCCAGCTCCTCCTAACCTCTGAACCCAAGACCCCAGAGCTTAGGACATCCCCCACAAACTCAAGGTCATTTCCCTGTGACAGTTTATCACCAAAGCTCCCCAAATTCAGGAGAACCCCCCCCAAGCTCAAAAGAAGGGTTCAGGGTTTCAAATGCTCCCGCCAATCAGGGTGCCCGAGTTCTGAGATCCAGCCAATGGGAGCACAGCATGCTCTGTCATCACCTGGCCGGCCGGGTCACAATGGGTGGCCGCGTCCCCTACAGGCCAGACCTGGTTCGGCCTGCTCCTGGCTGTTCCTTGAGAGCTCAGGAAAACAGCTCCTGGGGCTGGCCCCCAGGCAGGCTGCTGTCAAGGGGGTTCAGGGGGGCAGCCCATGGAGCCAGAGACGACCCTCTCCTCCATTCTCCCAGCACTGCCCGCCCCCACCGGCACTCTCGGTCACCATGGAGGTGTCGTCCTTGGCCGAGAAGGTTCCCTGCCTATCCGGGGCAGGCGACGGCTCTCTTTAGCATCCCCCGCTTGCTCCCTGACTTCCCACAGCACCCCTCTGCCAGACCTGGCCATTGGACTGGGTGCCCCCCACACCTCCGGGCTGGCCCCAGGGTCCCCGCTCGGGCTCGCCACCTCCCAGAAGAATTCCTACCTCCCCTCTGCTTCCCAGCCTATGAGTGACCAACAGGATGACACCCAGAAGGGGTCTGCCCTCCCGGGTGAGACCTCCCAGGGCCTGCGGAAAGCAGGGGGTGCAGAGGGCCAGTGAGGGGGCCTCTGCGGGGTACCCATGCGTGGCCGTTCTCCATCTTCTGCAGACAAGCAGAATGAAGTGGAGATCCCATCACCCACCATGAAGGATCGAGAAAAACAGCAGGCGCCACGGCAGAGACCCTCCCAGCAGCCCGCGCCCCCCGGGCCGCAGTTCCAGCCCATGTCTCAGATCACGGGGGTGAAGAGGCTGGCGCACAGCAGCAGCCTGAACGATTCCAGCGTCCCCCGCTTCGGGGTGAAGACCGACCAAGAGGAGCTCCTGGCCCAAGTGGGTGGGGGCTGAGCGGGGGCTGGGCTCTCCAGGGGCCCCAAAAAGCACTGGGCGTTGGGTCTGCCTGAGATGAGGTTTTGGGGGTACCTGCTTTAGGGGAGACATGGAGTCAAAGAAGCAGGACGGGAAGGAGCTGAGCAGTCTCAGCTGGAGCCCTGCCTTGGCCTGACCCCACGGGGAACTCTGGAATGCAAACAGCACCACAGAGATGAGCCCATCTTGAGGCACTGGCGCTGGCCTTCAGGACCCCTGTGTCAGTCGTCGGCGGGGCTACCCCCAGGGTGGCTGGCATCGCCCCCTCCACGTAGCCCTGGAGAACAGGGCGGCTGTGCGTCTTTGTAAGCGACAGTCCCAGCAGCTGTGGGATGGGGGCACTGGCCAGTGAAGGGGACCTGGCAGGACCCCAACCGGGTCCCCTACAGGCCAGACCGTGTCCTGGCTGTTCCGTAAGACCTTAAGCCCAGGGGCTGCATGTTGATTGTGCAACAGACACGATGCAGTCTGGGTGGCTCCCTCCGCTGACATGGATTGTAACCTCTGCAGGCTGGCAATGGCCAGTGCCACACGCAGTCGCTCAGTGGTTATTGAGTACCTACTGTGTGCTTTGGGGTCAGCCGCACTGGGTGCACATCCCAGCTCTGCCACGTGGGAGAGGCGAGATCTTGGATAAGTCACGTCGCTTTCTGAGCTTTGGGTCCCTTACCTGCCAAATGAGATGGAATTCTAGTGCAGTGCTGGGCGGGTAATCAGGACTAGGTAGCCAGTCGCTGGGGTTGCTTTGTTATTTTCCAGCCCAATACGACGTGGGCAGTAAATTCTGTGCTGCTGAGCACGCCACCCCCTGGGCCGGCAATAATGATGCTGCCTTCAGACCAGACCTCCTAGGAATGAGTCTGGAGGTCCCTGGGCCTTTCAGTCTCCTGATCTCTGACCTCCATCCCCACCAGGAACTGGAGAACCTGAACAAGTGGGGCCTGAACATCTTTTGCGTGTCGAATTACGCCGGCGGCCGCTCGCTCAGCTGCATCATGTACACAATATTCCAGGTGGGGTGGGCTGAGGGGGGGCAGGGTGCCAGGGAGGGGGACAGGGCTGGGACCCGAGGGCCAGCAGCGATCACCACCCCCACACCTGCCCTCAGGAGCGGGACCTGCTCAAAAAGTTCCGCATCCCGGTGGACACGATGGTGACATATATGCTGACCCTGGAAGACCACTACCACCCGGATGTGGCCTACCACAACAGCCTGCATGCCGCCGACGTGCTGCAGTCCACCCACGTGCTGCTGGCCACGCCTGCTCTGGACGTGAGCGCCGCCGCCCCGCCTCTCCCCAACCCCGTCTCTCCCTCTGCCCGTCTCCAGTCTCCCGTTTCTCTCTCTGACCCTGCGTCTCTGACCTCCATCTCCCGCCGACCCCCTTCCTCTCTCTGATCCTTGTCTTTCTCTTCTGATCCGATCTTTCTTGACACGCCCCCGGCTCTCTCTTACCCTGTCTTTCTGCTCCCCCCATCTTTCTAATCCCTGTGTCTCTCTGCCCCCAGGCTGTATTCACGGACCTGGAGATTCTTGCCGCCCTGTTCGCGGCTGCCATCCACGACGTGGACCACCCCGGGGTCTCCAACCAGTTCCTCATCAACACCAGTAAGTAGCTGGCGCGGGGCGCGGCCGCCGGGCTGGGGGCGGGGCCGGCCGGGTGGGGCGGGGCCTTGGGCGGAGGGCGGGACCTGCGCTGCCCCGCCCCTTGGGGCGGTCCGGGTGGCCCCTGCACTCCGCCGACCGCGGCTGCGTCCTGGGCCGCAGATTCGGAGCTGGCGCTCATGTACAACGACGAGTCGGTGCTGGAGAACCACCACCTGGCCGTGGGCTTCAAGCTGCTGCAGGAGGACAACTGCGATATCTTCCAGAACCTCAGCAAGCGCCAGCGGCAGAGCCTGCGCAAGATGGTCATCGACATGGTGGGCGGGGCGGGGGGCAGGGACAGCGGGACGGGACATCTCGGGGGCAGAGACTTTGGGGAGGGCCGGGTCTGCGTCCGGGACAGGAAGGCCCCTGCAGGGAAAGGGGGCATTTATGGGGCGGCTTGTGGGGCCAGGTTGGGTCAAGTGAAAACTTCAGAGGCCCAGGTCGGTCCAGCCGGCGGGTGACAGGGCCTCAGCGGCCCCTGTGACGCCCCCTTGCCCGCAGGTGCTGGCCACGGACATGTCCAAGCACATGACCCTCCTGGCTGACCTGAAGACCATGGTGGAGACCAAGAAAGTGACCAGCTCGGGGGTCCTCCTGCTGGATAACTACTCCGACCGCATCCAGGTGTCCCCCTCATACATCATATCAGGAGACTGGACCCGCTTCCCTCCCTCCCCCTTTAGGTCTTGGTGGCCCCTCTCCCTCAGCCTGCAGCTCCCAAGTTGTCCATCTTCCTGTCTCTTTTTCCCTCTGTTCCCTCCCGCGTCTCCCTCTTCCAACCCCCATCTCTCCATCCAATTTTCCCCCATCTCCCACCATCTTCCCCAATTCCTTCTTCTCTGTCCTCATCAACCTCTTCGTGTCTCCCCCCCATCTCTTCCACTCATCTCCCTCTCTCCTGCCCGTGTCTCCCTCCATGTCCCGTCCCGTCTGTGGCCACGTCCCCGCCCCCAGACACTCTTCCCCTCTCATCCCCCCACCCCGTTTTTCCCAAGTGGGGAGGTAAGGAAGGCCCCAGACTGGGACAGTGCGTGGCCTCTGAAGGCGCCCCACCCCCGCAGGTCCTGCGGAACATGGTGCACTGCGCGGACCTCAGCAACCCCACCAAGCCGCTCGAGCTGTACCGCCAGTGGACGGACCGCATCATGGCCGAGTTCTTCCAGCAGGGTGACCGGGAACGCGAGCGGGGCATGGAGATCAGCCCCATGTGCGACAAGCACACGGCCTCTGTGGAGAAGTCGCAGGTACCGCTCCACAGCAGCCGAGGGATGGGAGTGGGCGGGCCTCCCCACCTCATCCTGGCCTGGAGCTGAGACCCGCCCTTCCAGACCAGGGTTACCCAGCCTCGGCGCTGTTGCCACGTGGGGTGGGGCCGGAGTATTCTCTGTGGTGGGGGCCGTCCTGTGCGTTGTAGGATGTGGAGCAGCATCCTGGCCCCCTCTTCCAGATTTAACAACCAAATATGTCTCCAGACTCTTCCAAATGTCCCCTGGGCATGCCAATCACCACCGATCTCCAAGGAAAACCAGTTTTATTCATTTTATTATGTGGATATGTTCACAGGCAACTTAACAGCAATAGTTTGTGGGTTTAGCTTTTTTTAAAAAATATAAATTGCATCAATATATACTCATTGATATACAGCTTGCCCTTTTTTTCCCAACAACGTCTTGGAGATCTTTCTGAGCTATTACATATAACTTTAGCTCATCCTTTTTCACTGCTGTATAGTATTCCCACAGATATAGTTAAATAATGGTTTGTGTAGTCATTCCCCTGTTGATGGGACATTTAAGTATTTAGTAGGTGGGAATTCACAGTGACCCAAACAAAATAAAACTTTTTTTTTTTCTCTTTTATGTAAGAAAAGTCTAGAGAAGGGGAACTTGGCTCTCCAGCTTCATGAAGTTGGCAGGAACCCCAGAGCTTCCAGTGTTTCTCTTCTGTCGGCCAAAGCATGGGGCTTCTATCCTCAGAGATGCCTCTCATGATCACAGAGGCTGTTGAAGCTCCAGTCATTCTGGCTCCATTCCAGGGAGGAAAGGCCCCTGCCGGCTGAGGCAGCCCCCAGCATCCTCCATCTACAGGTGGTCACATGGCCACTCTCTCTTTGCAAGGGAGGCTGGGAAATGTAGTTTTCAGCTGGAAGCATTGCCTCCCTCGAGAAAAATCACGATTCTGTCCATTTGGAGGAGGGAAGATGATATCGGGGTGTTAGCCAGGAGTCTGCCAGGAAGTTATTCCTATTTTTTTGTTGTCACACAAAGATACCATAATGAATATCTGTGGTGTCCCCCGATGTTTTTTTAACTTAAGCCCCAACTGATGTATTTGTGGGGCTGTCTCCAGTTTCTGCTTATATCTCATCTCTGATTTTTTTTCACTTGTGCCAGAGTTTTCCAGGGTGGATCTGGAGAAGCAGGATGGCCGGGTCAAACGGTCTCAGCGTCTTTTAAATCTTCCTAGATCCCACAGGGTGCCCTCGGCGCCAGCAGGCCCACTGTTTATACCGTCTCCCTCCGCAGGTGGGTTTCATCGACTATATTGTGCACCCGCTATGGGAGACGTGGGCTGACCTGGTCCACCCGGACGCCCAGGACATCCTAGACACGCTGGAGGACAACCGGGACTGGTACTACAGCGCCATCCGGCAGAGCCCGTCGCCACCGCCCGACGAGGAGGCCAGGGGGCCGGGCCACCCGCCCCCGCCTGATAAGTTCCAGTTCGAGCTGACGCTGGAGGAGGACGTGGAGGAGGAGGCGGCGTGTCCTGCCTTGGGCGCCGGTGGAGCGGAGGAGTCGCCCGCGGCCCGGGAGGCATCCCCAGCTGAGGGACTCTTGGAGGTCCCCGGCCAGGACGTGGACGTGTGCATGGAGCGCGAGGTGCAGGAAGTGTGCTGGAGGCGGCGGGCAGACTCGGCGCACAGTGTGGCTGCGGGCCGCGAGGAGTCCTCGTCCCCGGATGCGTCCGCCGAGGCTGTGGGCTGCAGCAGCCCCCGTGTGCCTGCCTTGAGGACCCTGCCCCCTCCAGAGGAGGCCCCGGGCCGCTCGGGCCTCCCCTCCACGGCGGCCGAGGTGGGGGCCCAAAAGGATCATCAGGCTGCCAAGGGGGCGCGCTGTGCCTGCCCAGGGACCCCCGGCGAGGACGCCCCCGCGCCCCCAGCTCCTGGCGGGAGGGGGCCAGCTGGAGGCCCTCCCTGAGCCCCCGCCCCCGCCCGCCGTGGCCCCTCTGCCTCCCTTCACCGCCGTCACCCCCCCACGACCCCTCCACTGCCTCAAAGACTCCTGGGCCTCCTGAGAAAAAAGAAAACAGAAAAGTGGGGTTTTTTCTCTTTTCTTTTTTTCCTCCCTCTCCCCCAACCCCCACCCACGGGGCCTCCTTTTGGAGGTGGGGGCTGGGGGACGAAGGCGCTGAGGTCCCGGATGGGATTTTATTTTTGGAATTTTAATTGTGACATTTTTAGAAAAAGAGAAAAAAAAAAGAAAAAAAAAATCCAGGATGAAACACAGCAACTGTAGATGCCCCTGTGTCCGGCTCCCCCTCCGTCATCTCCAGCCACCGCCCCCCACCCCGAGCTTCCAGGCGCCGTCTTCCGGGCTCAAGGGCCCTCCGCCTGGCCCAAGAAGCCCCCTCCAGCCTTCTCTTCTGGATTTGGGAGGGTAGTAGAACTCAGCCAGAAATAGCCATTCTGGGCGGGGGCCCCGGCTGGTGAGGGGGTCACGGTGGGAGGCCCCAGCTCCCCTCTGGCTCGCTGCGCCCCCCCCCCCAGAAGTCTTCCGCCTCATTTTGCACAAACCTGGCAATACTGACTCGGGGACCGCAAGGGGGAGGTTGGTCTTCGGGCTGCAGCCCCCGGGGTGGGAGGGACGGTCACACCACCAGCCTGGGGGCTACGGTCTCAGGAGGGCCTGATCCCCCCTTCTCTTCCCACTCCCCTCCCCTCAACTTTGGGTTCCGTTCGAATTTTCCCCATCTGGGGGGGACGGCTCCCAGCCGCATCCCTCTGCCTAGCTGCTTCTCCTCTTGTTTCTGCCTTAATGATCCCCACGGCCATAGGAGAGGGGGTCGCAGTGGCTCGCCCCCCTGCACCTCGAGTGGGGCGGGGCCAGGCCCGGAGCCCCCATCCTGGGCACCCCCCTCCCCAGCATCCTCCTGCTCACCCCCCCGCCCCCCCGTGCCCTAGGAAGAAGCAATAATGGTGTACACCCACATCCCCTTTCTGGGCAGCCTTTCCCTACCCGGGCCCCATCGCCCTCCACCCTGCCAAGCCTCCCCCTCGCTCCCTAGCTGCTCCCTGAGCAATACGACAGACGGATGCAAGGCCATTTTTCTCCAAGCCATGGGGGACCCTCTGGAAGGAAAGATGCCGTCTTCCCTCTGCTCTGCCCCTCTCCCGGTTCTGCCGCTGCAGGCCGGTCCTCTCTCATCGCCTCCCGTCCCCTGCGGAGCACACGGTACTGTAGCCCCCAGCTCCCCGCAGCCTCCATCAGTCTGTCCATCTCCGTGGGGAGGACCGCCCGCTCCCGCCCCCAAGATGCTGTACAGGGTTCATTTTTGTAGCCAACGTAGTTTCTGTCCCAGCCGGCGACCGGAGTGGGCCTTTTTGTTGTTGTTTTCTTTCTTTTTTTTTTGTACATACTGTAAGGTTGGTTTGTAAATTATTCTACAGAGGCAAAAAGGGAAAATAAACTCGCCCTTCCCCCGCTGACCAGCAGGGGAAGGAGGGCAGGGGGTCTCCCAGAGGGAGAGCCCCCCTTCCCGCTGTATTATACAAACTGTACCATGGACCCCGAAAGGGGGAACTCGGCGCCGGTTTGCACGGGGACTCATGGCATCGGAGGGGGCGAGGGCTGGACAGAGCCTGCCCCCTCCCCGTCCCCAGGGCCGGATGTGACCGGCGAGAGGGCCCCCCACCCCCCCATCAGGGCTCCTGTCTCCGGGGGTGCACAGGCCCCCCCGTGTGCTGCTCGCGTGTTGTCCACTTTGACGATCATTGAGTCTGATCGATAATCAATCCTTTGATCTTGTCTCCAATTAAACTGAGGCTTTCACGAATCTTCCAGGCTCATGTGGCTTCCATTCCCGCCATGATGTCGAGGGCGCCTCTCCTGCAGTGTCGTTGCAGTGGGCTGGGGGTGAACAGGGGACTCTGTCCCTACCCCTCCCCCAGCAGATAGAACTTGAGGGGTACAGGGGGTTTTTGGGGGGGGTGCACAGCCCCAGGTTGTAAAGTGGAGGATCAGACCTCGCAGTCTCTGGAGGCCAGCAGCCCAAGGTAAGCCTCACTTCTCCCACACGGGACGTATCTGACACAATTCTGGATTCTTCTGGAAACCCCAAGGGAGCCTGATGGATGGCGCCTCCACTATCTGACTGCCAGATCGTGATAAAGGGTCTAAGTTCAAATTCTGCTGTGCAGACATGAAATTTGATTACCCGACACAAGAGAATTTACACCTGTAAGTTCCTTGAATTCCCAGCTTCCTACCCATTTTGGTGTTGCAGCCTTCATGTTGCATGAAAACAAACCAAAACGAATAAACCTGTGAGGCTGGTTAAGTTCCGTGCACTCTGTTTTGGTGGCCCAGGTTTGGTTCCTGGGGGTGGACCTACATCAGCCATGCTGTGGCAACGACCCACATAGAAAGTAGAGGAAGACTGGCACGGATGTTAGCTCAGGGCTAATCTTCCTCAGCAAAAAAAAAAAGAAGAAAAAAGTCAACAAACCTCTTAAAGACAGGATCCTGTGTTGCTTACAGCCTGTAAGCCTTGCGGCTGCCAGGCAAGCTGAATCCTCCAATTCACGCAGGACCAGCTCAGGATTTTGGCTCTGTTTTTCAAATGTGTTCATACAAGGCTGGAGAGTGAGTGAATCTCAGATATTTTAACCAATCCCCGTATTTGAATATGGTTAATTCTACCCATGGGAGCCCGTTTTTCCAACCTTTATCAGGCTCATTAGCATGCTTCTGATTTCACCTATAAAACGTTTCTGATGCTCATTATGCTAATGAGCCAAACTTCCCCTGTGGATAAAGATGTGAATAGTCGAAGTGTTTCTGAAGCGGCTTTCAGATGGAGACCGGGCTGCCTCCGGGGTGCAATAAGCAGAAATAAACACATAAGCAGTGCGTAAGTGGGTAAGCTCAGTGCGATCAGGGTGTAAATACGTGAATATGTATATGTTCACAGTGTGTGTGGAACAAAATGAGGGCAGCTGCTTTGTTCCAAGGACACGTCGACCAGCCTACTCTGCCGGTCATCTCTAGCGGCCAGGGACAAGTTTGGATGCCAGCTCCAGCTGTGTGACCTTGGGCGTGAAACCTCTCCCACCTACAGTTATGTCATCTGTAAAAGGGGATAACAAGTCCCAGACTTACAGGTGGGTCCAGGGCGGGGCTGTCCGGTGAAACTTTCTACGACGATGGGAATGTCCTATGCTTTGTCTGACACGGTAGCCACTAGCCACGTGTGGCTATTAAACATTTGAAATGTGCCTGGTGCGACTGAGGAACCAGAGTTCTCATTTTCCTTTGCATGAAGCAGCCACATGGAGCCGGCGGCTGCCGGGTGGGACTGCACGGTTCTGGAACTTAAGGGAGAGTGTGAGTGTAGAGGATTTAGCGTGTATATACGGTGGCCTGCTTGACTGTGGCGTAAAGATTCACACTAGATACCCTGGCCAGAGGAGTGGGGTGAGCCTGGACCCAGAGGGGAGAAGCGAAGCTGGCAAACTAGGTAGAAGTTTCCAGCGAATCTGAGTTTTGCACAAGAAGCAAAAAGGTGACACACGTTTTCCCAAAGGAGGCAGAGCCACTCCCAGGCTGCAGGGGACGGCTGAGTGACCCCCAGTGAGCCTTCTTGTTTGCGCCTCAGTTTCCCCAAGTGTAAAAGGGCAGGCGTGATGTCCCCAACGCCTCCTGTGTTGGGATGCAGTGACAGTCTGAGAATGTGGATCAAAGGGTGGAGGTGGCACGTGACCATCAGCGAGCTCTATAAAATCTCCCGGTGGGGAGTTCATCTTTCTTCAGGCCAAGGTGACCACCGCGGGCAGCGGGGCACAGCCAGCGAGGCTTTGCCATCTGCACAGGACGGGCGACCTGAGGAGGGGGTGGAGTCGTTCCTTCTCTGAAGTTGCCATCAGCCACTTGCAGGCACGTGTCTTGGGCAGATGGCCCCGCCCCTCCCAGCCTTCGGGGGCTCCGCCCACTGCTACGCCTATTGGGCGGAGCATCTTACTGACTGCGGGAACCCTGAGATAGGTACTGTCCTAGGCTCCATTTCCCAGATGAAGAAACTGAGGCTGAGACATGATCTAGAATGTTGGGGAAATTCAGAGAAATAAGGCCGGACGTCCCTTCACCCAGGGCCTGTTCCGCAATGATAGCCGCCAGGGACCTTTAAATGATCATCACGACCTGATTTCAAGTGCACAAAATCTTGAGATGTAGGTAATCTTTTCCCCTTTCTCACAGCATAAAAATATAAGGAAGTACTAATTAAACAAGATGCTTTCTTTGGTTCTTTTTTAAGGTATGCTTTTTTTGGTGAGGAAGATTTGCCCTGAGCTAACATCTGTTGCCGATCCTCCTATTTTTTTTCTCTCTCCAAAGCCCCAGTACATAGCTGTATATCTAGTTGTAAGTCCTTCTAGTTCTACCATGTGGCAAGCCGCCACAGCACGGCTTGATGAGCAGTGTGTAGGTCCGCACCCAGGATCCAAACCAGCCACCCCTGGGTCTCTAGAGCAGAGTGCATGAACTTAACCACTTGGCCACCAGACCTGCTCCTTGTTTCTGTTTTTGTTTTTTTTTTTTTCATTTATTGGCAAATAATGAAAAGATGGAATATCGTGGGATGGGCAAAACACTTTCATGGCTCATTAGTGCTGATGGAAGTAGGCACATATAGCTTTCCCAGAGTGGCCTGACAATATTTATCAGTAACTGTGCATGCATTTGACCCAGCTATTGCGGCTTTAAAACTCTTTATCCTAAAGAAACAGTTGGAGGAAAACCTAAAGATGTAGGTACAAAATGCCCCTTCTAGTGTTGGTCAGAATAGTGAAGAATTATTAAGAACTCAGAGGTCCGGGAGCTGGCCTGGTGGTGTAGTGGTTAAGTTCATGTGCTCTGCTTCGGCAGTCCTGGGTTCACAGGCCCAGATCCTGGCAGGGACCTATTCACCACTCATCAAGCCATGCTGAGGCAGCATCCCACATACAAAAAAATAGAGGAAGATTGGCACAGATGTTAGTTACGGGCCAATCTTCCTCACCAAAAAAAAAAAAAAAAAAAAAAAGAACTCAGATGTCCAACATTAAGGAGTCATTAAATTATGCTTCACCCATAAAATAGAATAATATGCAGCCATTAAAAACAATGAAGTGGGGCCTGTCCCATGGCGGAACGGTTGAGTTCACTCGCTCCACTTCGGCAGCCCAGGGTTTTGCCAGTTCATATCCTGGGCAGGGACATGGCACCGCTCATCAGGCCATGTTGAGGTGGCGTCCCACATGGCACAGCTAGAGGCACTCACAACTAGAATATACAACTATATACCAGGGGGCTTTGGGGAGAAGAAGAAGGAAAAAAAAAAGAAGAAGATTGGCAGCAGATGTCAGCTCAGGTGCCAATCTTTAAAAAAAATGAGGTGGATCTCTATTTGTTAAAATGACAAGATGTCCATAGCGAGAAGAGCAGGTTTCAAAACACTCTGCATTATATGATCCTACTAAAAAAGATGTGCTTGGAAAAGGTGGCTGGTCCATCAAAATATTAACAGTGTCTCCAGTGGTGGGATTACAAGAGATCTATGTTTTCTGTTCTGCCGTCTCCGATATTCTCTGAAGCTTTGCAATGGGCATGTGTTACTTTTATAATCAAGGGGGAAATTATTTTATAATCAGGGGAAAGAAAGAACCGGTATTTGTTATCTGGGAGGCACGGAAGCAGGCAGATAAGCACACAGACTCTGACTCAGCTTGCCTGGAATCTGGTCTCAACTCTGCCGGTTAATGACTGGGTTGGTGCGAGCAGGTACTTCCCCACTCCGTGCCTCAGTTTCCCTCGCCGTAAAATGCCAGTAGTAAGAGCTCAGCTTTATCACATTCAATTTTCACAACAGCCTTATAAACTAGGTACCATTATTATAAAATGGGTCGTTGGCAGAGGAGGAGGCAAGACTGGGAGCTCGACCCCCGAGCGTCCCCTAGAGTGGGGCTGGGACGCTGCAGCAGGGCCACGAAGCTGCGCACGCGCACATCGTGCAGGGGGCGTGGCGAGGGCCCGCGGGAGATGTTGCCCCGCGCCACGACGGGCTGGCGTACTTGTCATTAGCCGAGAAAGCAGCCAATGAAAGGCGCGGGCTGAGGATACTGAGGCGCTCTGACCGCAGCAGGTGCGACCACCCCTGAGACAGGTGAGGAGATCTGGCGTCGCTCCCTTCCTGAGAGTGACCCCAGCGCCGTTCCGCTTTTTTAGATTGACTTCGGCGTGAATCCCCTTCCCAAAGGGACCCTGGTGTCAGTCCCCTTTCCTGATGGGGCCCTAGCATTGTCCTTCCCGAGGGAGACCCTGGCGTCACCCTCTTTCCCTGAGGGGTCCCCTCCCATGTCATCATCTCTTCCTAAGGGGAACCCAGAGTCTTGCCCCCTGCCTCAAGGGCCCTCAGAATCGTTCCTCCTTCCTGAGAAGGGGCCTGGCCTTGTCCCCCCTTTTCCCGAGGGTTTCCTGTCGTTGCCATCCCCACACGCTGAAGGGACCCATCACCTCCCTTTTTTCTTAGGGTAACCCCTTCCTGCCTTCCAGTGTGAGGTGGGCCCCTGCAAGGGCTTCCGTGGTCCCCAGACACAAGAGAAGTCCCAAAGTCCCCTCCTGCACTCCCCGGCCCCCAGCTGGGGAGACTGGAAGGTAAGCCTCGGCTTGCCCTCAGGGTGTTGCGAGGTTGTGAAACTAGCTGATAAAGGAACTCACCATGTCATACGAGAAATCGTTTAAGGAACTGGGACTGTTTCTCCTAAAATGGGAGCCACAGGAAGACCTCAAGACTGCCTT